ATGGCTATCACAGAAGGGAGGATGGCAGTAGGCAGGCAAGAACGGCACTGGAGAAGAAGCTGAGAGCTAAGATCTTGAGACAGAAGTGGGAATCGTGTGGCCTTTTTAAATCTCAAACCTCCCATTCAGAAGCAATTCTCCCTATTCTTCCCAAACTGTTCCACCAGCTGATGTGGGGGGGGGGCAAACATTCAAATATATGAGTCTGGGGGGGCACATTCTCATTCAAGCCACCACAGCCAGTTTATGGGTTTCAAGCATGTTATGCAAGTACTCTACCAACTGAGGGATGCCCCTAGCCCCCAGCTCCTTTTCTTTGCCATGGGATAGACAGACACTTTCTTAGGGGCATGCCATCTGTAGCTATCAGTCTGTGGTTATCAGAAGATAACTCCTCTTATTATTGCCAGGAAACAGAAGGAGGGCACTAGGTATAGCCTACCCAGCTACTCCCTCACTAGTAACCTACTTTCTCCAGCTAGGTGTCACCTAAAGCTCCTACCACCTCCCCAAACAGTGCCACCAGCTAGGGACCAAGCATTCCGGATATGAACCTGTAAGGGGGTATTTCACATTCAGTATATATGTATTCCAAAGATGCAGACCAAGCCAGGTCTGCTATGACATGCCTGTGATCGCAGCAGTCTGGGCACTGAGGCAGGATGACTATGAGCTGAGGGGCCGGCACAAATTTACTACCTAATTTCTGGAGAGAAGACACTTTTCTTCTTGTGACGTCGAAAGGTAAGCAAGGACAAGTTGTCTCATTAGTCCATGCTTCTCAGTTTGCGTTTTTTTTTATGTGTGTGTCCATGCACATATCTGTGCGTATACATGGAAGCCAGAGGTCTACTGTAGGTATCCTCCTTTATTTCCCTATACCTTATTTTTGAGACACATCTTCTACTGACTAGAAACCTACAGATTCCACCTTCCCTTCTTCCCCGACCTCTGTGGTCCCAATTTTGTCTGGTGATCTTCTCTATTTTGACTTTTCAGGTGGATCTATATATGGATTTCTTAGGGTGCACTTTGTTACGTAGCTTCTCCAGGATCGTGAACTATAGGCTCAATATTCTTTGTTTAAGGCTAATAACCACTCATGAGTATATATATTCTTGGTATAAAATCAGGTGTTCATAGGTGTGGGGATTAATATCTAGCTCAACAATTCAATTCCATTTGTCAACATCTTTGTTTTTATGCCAATACCAAGCTGTTTTCATTACTTTTACTCTGTAATAGAGCTTGGTATCAGGGATGGTGATGCCTCCAGAAGTTCCTTTATTGTACAAGATTGTTTTGGCTATTCTGGGTTTTTTTGGTTTTCCCATATGAAGTTGATTATTGTTCTTTCAAGATCTTTGAGCAATTGTGTTGGGATTTTGATGGGGATTGCAATGAATCTATAGATTGCTTTTGGTAAGACTGCCATTTTGTTATGTTGATCCTACCTATTCAAGAACATGGGAAATCTTTCCATTTTCTGGTATCTTCTTCAATTTCTTTCTTCAGACTTAAAGTTCAAGTCAAACAGGACTTTCACTTCTTTGGTTAGTGTTACCCCAATATATTTTATAAAGTCATTTGTGGCTATTGTGAAAGGTGATATTTCTCTCATTTCTTTCTCAGCTTCTTTATCATTTGTATATAGAAGGACTCACCAACTCTAGCTGGACTGGGAAGGAACAAGCATAGGACCAAACTAGTCCCTCTGAATGTGGTTGACAGTTGAATGCCTAGAACAGACTGCAGGACCACTGGCAATGGCACCAGGATTTATCCCTACTGCTTGTACTGGCTTTTTGGTAACTTATTTTCTTTGAATGGATACCTAGTTATAGCAGGGAAGGCCTTGGACCTTCCCCAAAGCCATGCACCTTACCCTCTCTGTGGAGTGGATGGGGATGTGGATGGGGAGTAATTAAAGGAAATGGGAGGAGAAGAGGGAGTGAGAACATGGATTTGTATGTATAATGAAAATAGATGATTTTTTAAAATATTTTTAATTTTAATTTTTTTGTTTGTTTTTTGAATCAGCATTTCTCTGTAGCTTTGGAGCCTTTTCTGGGAACTAGCTCTTGTAGACCAGGCTGGCGTTGAACTCACAGAGATCTGCCTGCCTCTGCCTTCCAAGTGCTGAAATTAAAGGTGTGCACCACCACCACCTGGCCTTGTTTTTTTTTTAGAACAAACAAAACACAACACAACAACAACAACAAAAAAAAAAACTCACAGATCTCACAGATTCCCTATTTGGGTTAGCCAATGAACTTCAGGATCCATCTGCCTGTCCCACCCCGCTTCCCCCAGCACTGGGGTTATGGGGATGCACCACCGACCTTGGCTTTTTACAGGATGTGGGATGGGACCTCAGTCTTTCTGTTCACACAGCAGGCTCCATACTGACGGAGCCATCCCCTCAATCTTTGTATCTTTTTGATTTGTTTTCCTTTTTGAGACAGGGTCTCACTATGTAGTCCAGGCTGGCCTGGAACTCATAGCTGTCCTCCTGCACCAGCCTTTGGATTGTTGGAATTACAGATATTTACAACTGGCTATATTCTTTAAAAATAGAGAGCCCCAAAGTTCCCTAAGGTGGCCTCTTTTTTAAAGATTTTTTTGTGCGTGTGTGAACGTTTTGACTATAAGCAGGTTAAGTGCATCATGTGTGTGTTCAGTGCCCATGGAGGCCTGAAGCCAGTGTCACATCCCCTGGGACTGGAGTTGCAGATGTCTGTGAGCCACCACGTCTGTACTGGGACACTGACTAGTCCTTTGCAAGAGAAGGCAGAGCTCTTAATCACTGAGCCATCCCCATCCTCACGGGGTGGCCTGTTTTGCTCATGAACAGCCTGAGTTCTCCTTTCTCAGGAGACTGCAGCTTATCCTCCTCCCCTCGCTCAGTTGTCACCTGTCCCTTTCTCCATTTGTGTCCTAACCCCGCTAGGGTAGGTGGGATGAAGTGGCCCGCTTTAGAGCTGATCCCTCTCTTCCATTCAGAGACTGGAAAGTCTGTAAAGGATAAGCAGCCCCAGTACCATTGCCTTTCACAGATTTGGTGTAGCCTGCTCCCCAGCCACCCACTCACCCATGCACCCATTTTACCTGCCCACGTTTAACCATGCCTTCCTGACCTGCTACATCACACCCTTGGTTAGTGTGCGGTTCCTTGGCAACATGCAAGCCAGTTGAATCACATTTAGGTTTTTTTTTTTTTTTTTTTTTTTTTTTTTTTTTTTTTTTTTTTTTTTTTTTTTTTTTTTTTTTTGCTTTGTTCATGTTACCCTTTTGCTCAATTAGGCTTCTTGAACAACTGCTTGATTTCCTGGATACTTTGCAAAACTGCTTTGCTCTCTCTCCTTTTAATGTGAGCTCTGGGATTAAAACTCAGGTGGCTGCCCCACACAGCAGCACCTTTGACCCAGCTCACAGGCCCAGTGCCAACTTACTGACAGGCTGGGACGCCGAAAAGCTAACCTGAATTCTCTTGATATGAGGCAAATATCCCTGAAGAAAATGGTAGAATTCACAGTCTCATATCTCTCTAGGCACTCCTTGTTTGTATGTCTGTATGTCTGTCTACCTATCTATCTATCTATCTATCTATCATCTATCTATTTATCTATCTATCTTTGAGAGAGGATCCTAGGCTGGCCTCAACTTTCAGATCTTCCTCCCTCACCCAAATGCTGAGATTAGAGGCATCTACCATCACTCCTGATCTTTAATACTTTCATATTATTTCAACATTTAATATTTATTTTTATAATAAAAATTTAAACGTAAAACATATGGAGTGCTGTGATATATAGTATTAGTCCCAGCTGCTTGGGAGACTGGAGGATTGATTTCACTAGATCTTGAGACCAGCCTTGACAGCGTAAGAAGACTAAACAAGATGTTGGGCATGGGAGCTTGGAACCTATCATCTTCGCTTAGGAGACTGAGACAGGACGACCGTCATGAGCTGCTAGACCATTCCTCAAAAATAAACAAACCCTTTGGGCTGGAGAGTGGACTTCAGGGAACCTGCATTTGATTGCTAGCCCCCACAAAGTTGGCGGGAAATCATCTGCAATTCTGGGGCTCCAACATTCTCTAGCCCCTTTGTGCATGGGTATGTATGTAGGGTAGACACACACACAGGCAAAAACTCACGCATTAAAAATAAAACAAACAAAAAAACCAAATGAAACAACCCAGACAGACAGACAAATGTTGAATCTAGTAGCACAAAACTACACCATGACCAGGTGGGATTTATTCTGGCAATGTATACATGTTTTGGTTTATTTCTCTGACGGCACTTTAGATTGAATTCAGGACTTCACACATGGGCTAGGCAAGTGCTTAATCATGGAGATTAATTGGAAATTAATCATATGGAAGTATGTATGAAAAGAGTTGCTATCAATGTCCTAGATGCCTGAAAGTCACTAGATAAAATTTAACAATCCATAATAGAGTAAGAAAAAATGGGTTCTTTTAAAACTTGTAAAATGCGAGTCATTACAAAAGCTGTTATTAGTGGAAAATACAAAACATCACCAGTCACCCTTCAGCAAGGGCATATATAAAGGCCGGTCTAGCTCCTTGCGGAGAAGGGTCATTTATCTCTGCCGTGATCGTGGCTCCTTTATCCTCCTGTTGTTTCCCAAGTACAGAGTCAGAGGCTTTCTAGTAGTTGTAATGGGCAGGTCAAAGTACCCTTGCTCTATCTCTAGATGAGATAAGCCCCCTCTGGAGACAATTGCGGTTGGAGCTTTCTCTCTCCTGCTTCTAAATGACCACTTGGAGACTTACTATCAATTGTAAACTACTTGGCCTGTTGCTCAGGCTTATTACTATCTAGCTCCTACTTTTACATTTCTATTTATTATGCATTACCATAGAGCTGTGGCTTTACCTCTGGTCTAGAACATCTTGCTGCTTTGGCAGCTTGGCGTCTCCCAGACCACCCCCCCCCCCCCAATCTTCCTTGTATTTTCAGTTTGGCTTTCCTGCATAGGCTTACTCTGTCTTGCTATAGAGCAAAGAGTTGGTGTAGCAGCTTCTTTATTAACATACTCACAGCATAGAGGAAGTTAATAAAACATACAGCATATAGGAAATATGTCCCACAGCGCATGACCTCTAAGTAAATTTGGGGGTACGAAGCACCAAAATCTTAGTTGTTGAAATCTATGCCAAACCAAGACTGGCTCTTGGTTCTACTCTTGGATTCCACTGACAGGCATCCTTTTCACTGGGACACAGTGCCATAGAAAAATCTGATTTCACAAACGGGATGTACAGTACAGGATAGTGTTCTGTCCTTTCAGAGTTCTTCAGGCTGGCATTTTGGTTGCACCTTTAGAATCTGTTTCAGTATTCTAGAAGGCCGGTACAATCAGTAGATGTCATCGTCATGGGTTCATTTCTATTTCTTTAGCTGTGCATGTGGAACTTTGTGCTTGCAGATCAAGCACCCCTTAAGCCCAGATCCTCAGAGCTGACAGTTTACTGCCAAGGAAGGCCGCATCCATCTGAGTGTCTCTCTGCCATGTTCCTTTACTCTTTAGTTTTGACAGGGTCTCGTGATCCTCTTCTCTCAATTGCCCAGAGGATGGATTACAGGTATGCACTACCGTCCACCTTCTTTCTTTCCCGATTAAGTTTTGCTTTTCAGCAGTTGGTGATAATTTTTCTTGCCTAGCAAACAAGAGGAGTTGAGTTTGGTTTCCATAGCACATAATCCAGACAAGGAGACAAACTGTAATCTCACGCTTTGGAAGTAGAAGGCAGAGGGTCAGAAGTTCAAACTACACAGGGAGTTTGAGACCAGCCTGGACTAGAGACTTTGCCTCAAAAATTACTTTTTAAATTAATAGTTTATTATTAATTTTTTTCTGGCTTTGTTTTGAGACACAGCCTTAAAAGGCCACCTTGGTCTTTAGCTTGCTATATAGCTCAGCCTGGACTGACCTCAAAATCCTTGCTCCTCAGCATTCTGAATGCTGAGATTACATGTGTTGGCCATCATGCCTAGCTGAACTTCTAGTTCTGGGATCAAATCCAAAGGCTATGACACGCTAGACATGCACTCTAGCTAGCCTGAGCCTGCTGAACCACTACTACTAGCCAGTTACACTAGATCATGTAAAGAAAATGAATTTCAAAGCTATGGATTTTCCTCTGGGTTCCACTTTATTAACAACACAGTTTTAAGATTTTTTTTTTGAGACAGGGTTTCTCTGTAGCTTTGGAGCCTGTCCTGGCACTAGCTCTTGTAGACCAGGCTGGCCTCGAACTCACAGAGATCCGCCTGCCTCTGCCTCCCAAGTGCTGGGATTAAAGGCGTGCGCCACCACCGCCCGGCCCAGTTTTAAGATTTTAACTGCCCATACTTTATGTCTAGCTATAGTTCAACAGCTCACGTTTTTCCAGACTATTTTCACTGTTTCCCTTTCTCACAGACAGGCCAGCCTGTTGAATATTCAAGTCCTGGCTCCACGAGGCTGGAAGACACCTCATGGAGCCTGCTTGTTACCGAGTGCCCAGTTGGTCTCGGTCAGTGCTGATCTGCAGCTCCGTGAGCTCTCGGGAGCAGCAGTAACCCCACCACTCTCAGTGAGTTGTCCCCTCCACAGGGTTTGCACACAACTTGTTTCTGACTCTAAGGCCACTGTGGTGCCCCATACATTGTTCTGCTTGACTTGAACAGGCAGAGTCTTCCTCTTCCCTGGCATGTTCTCCTGAGTGTTAAAACCACCTCTAGACTCTTCATTTAGCTCTATCTGCAGATAACTGTCTTTTAATCAACATTTCCTCATGGATAGAGTAGGGAGCTTAGGGGGCTTGGGGGTCCCTGCCCTGAGGTTCTATAAGATGTACATAATTGACCGGAGTGGGGGAACTTTGTGGTAGTGTAGCCTCCCTTAAGCTGCCCAAAGCTCTTCGGTGGCGAAGGTGTTTATGAGCTGCCCATGCTGTCTAAGTGCTGGTATGCTGTCCAGGAGGATTCCTGGTGCTGTAGCTGCCTTGAGTCATTTGTGATCCTACAAGTGACCCCAATGAACTCACTGATTCGCTACCCGGATCGGGATGGAATCCTTTCTTTGTTTTTTGTTACCTTTTTTATCCGGGTGAAGGAAAGGTGAAAAGATGCTTCTTCCCACCCTCCAAGGAAAAGTCACAAGAACCTGAGAGTCAATATGTCTGGCTCTGCAGGCCAACTGGTGTCTTCTTTAGATTTTTTTAACACCATGACAGTGCACAAGCACTTGCAGAAAGTCAGTGAATGGATGTGTCTTACTTGGTTCACACTGTAGTCTGCTAACTCCTGGTTTAGCCCAAACCATGTACTTTCATCAGAAGTGAGTCACAGAAATGGAGCGAAAACCCTCACTTTACTAATGTACTTTATTAACTGTTACACCTGAAAAGCTAATCTACCACCTTACCACAGTTTTGGGATACATACATTTTTAGTTAATATACGTCTATGACAGATAGAAGACAGCCACTGTCAATTTATCTTCATTCACCAGGAGTCTTAAATAGAGCAGCGCGACTCTTGTACTTCTCTGCAATCTCTTTGATATTTTTCAAGAGGTCTTCAGACATGCATCCTTCATACTCTGTGTCAGCTTTAGCAATCTGTTCTTCAAGGTGTTTCTAGTGGAAACAATTCACAACTCTTAATGTACAAACAAGTGTGACATTTACATACAAGAATGACATTTGTAAATTATTAAAAGAATGAGGTGAAATGTTCAACATCTTTAGTCATCAGAGAAATGCAAATGGAAACAACTCTGAGATTCCATCTTACACCTGTAAAAATGGCCAAGATCAAAACACTGGTGACAACTTATACTGGAGAGGTTGTGGGATAAAGGGAACACTCCTGCATTGCTGATGGGAATGCAAGCTGGTACAACCCCTTTGCATGTCAGTGCAGTGATTTCTCAGAAAATTAGGAAACACCCTTCCTCAAGACCTAGTAATACCACTTTGGGTATATATCCAAAGGATGCTCAATCATGCCACAAGGACTTGCGTTCATATGTTCATAGCAGCTTTATTTGCCATAGAGAGAACCTGGAAACAACCTAAATGCCCCTCAACCAAAGAATGGATTAAGAAAATGTGGTACATTTATATAATGGAGTACTACACAGCAGAAAAAATAACGACAGCTTGAATTTCGCAGGAGAATGGATGGAGCTAGAAATTTTGAGTGAGGTAACCCAGACACAGAAAGACAACTATCACATGTGCTCACTCATAGGTGGTTTTTAAACATAAGCAAAGAAACCCAGCCTACAAATCACAATCCCAGAGAACTTAGACAACAATGAGGACACTAGGAGAGACTTAATAGATCTAATCTACTGGGAAGTAGAAAGTAGAAAAAGACAAGATCTCCTGAGTAAATTAGGTATATGGGCACCTTGGGGGAGGGTTGGAGGTGGAAGGGAAGTGGCAGTGAAGGGAGCAGAGAAAAATGCAGCGCTCAATAAATATCAATAAAAAAGAATAATAGGAATAGAAGCCTCTATTTCCTTTGCTCCCTCCATCCGGTTAACCCCAAGCTCATCAGCATTCCCCTCCTTTTTCTACTTCAAACCACACATTCTGGCACTCCTTTTCCTTTACCAGCTTGCCTCTCAAGTAGATGCCCAGGTATGGGACACCCATTATCCCTCTAGATTCAAACATCACCCCCAACATCATCCAACTACAAAATTTGATCAAATATATCACAGGGGCCCAACACCCATTCTCTCTCTAAAGCCTCAGGGGACTTAATCTTCTTATCTCTGATCTTTTAAGTAAAAAAAACCAGTGGAGCCTATAGGTTGGTTTAGGACCTCCGACTTTTAACTCAGTAGTAATTCCACTTCATCCTATAGTACCCAGTCCTTATATTGTCCTCTCCACTATCCCTTCAAAAACCTCCCATATCTCTGTTCTTGACCTCAAAGATGCATTCTTTTCTATTCCTCTAGATCCCAGTCACAACATATCGCTGCCTTTCCTTGGACTGACCCAGACAACCATGTCTCTACCCAGCTCATTTGGACCATCCTACCCCAGGGATTCCAGGACAGCCCACATTTACTCACTCTCTGTTTCTCCCGAAATCTAAACTCATACAGCACGCAGATATTCTCTCCTTTGTAGTCCATCCCTGCACATTGGCCAGGCAGATGCGTTGGTCCTATTGAACTTTCTGTCCAGCCCCTCTAAGGTCCAGTTATACACTCCTCTGGTTACTCATCTGGGATTAGCCATCACTCCAACTCATAAGACCATTACCCTAGATAGAAAACAATCTAGTCACTCACAGTTCCTAACACAAAGGATGAAATCCTATCTTTCCTAGGTATGGCAGGCTTCCTTTGCACCTGGATTCCCTCTTTTTCTCTTCATGCCCATCCCCTATATAAAGCAGCCCTTGGCCCCTCACATGAACCTCTTCTAGCCTGTTAGCAAGACATTTCGTAAGCTTCAGCCAGCCCTTCTCCAGGCTCCAGCTCTACACCTTCCAGATATAACTCTCTCTCAGTGTGTGTTACTGAAAAGGAGGGATATGCCCTCAGGGTCTGGGGTCATTCCTTTGCACCTGTTGCATACTTCTCAGAAAAACTAGACCAGCCTGTGCAAGTCTGGGCCATAGCTATGAGCTCTGGCTGCAGCTGAACTGCTTCTACTTTAATCAAAGAAGTTAACCTTTGGGTCACCTATTACTGCTCTTTCTCCTCACCACCGGTCACATCTTCTAACATACAAGGGACTTCAAACACTACCTCCCTCCTGAGTTCTTTCCCTTCAGGTAGCATTTGTACAAGACACAATACTAACTTTTTAACCATGTCTACCTTTTAACATTTCACATCTTCTCCCCCAACCAATTCTGAAGTACTCCCTACTACAGTCATACCGTGAGACCCTAGAAGAGTTACTACCTTATCCTATACATATACAGAAAGGAGCACTTCCCCTTATACTAGTACTTATAAGTGGTATACTGATGGCAGCTCCCTCCTACATGAAGGAGTACGTAAAGCAGGATATGTTGTTGTTTCAACCAGAGTGGTTGAAGCTTAGGCCCTTCCATATCACACCACAGATCAGCAGGCTGAATTAATAGCTCTATCCCGTGCCTGTTAAATTTAGGGACAATCCCTAAACATTATATATTTAAAGTATGCGTTTCATATTCTCTTGTCACATGCAACTATCCAGAGGGAACGGGGCTATTAACAACAAAAGGAGGATCCATAAATAATTCAGACCAAATTATAGCCCTATTAGAGGCTTCCCATCTTCCATAGCCATAGGAATTGTCCACTGTTGATCACATCAAGCAATTCCATTATTTCAATGGGAACTAACTGAGCTGATGAGGCAGATAGAGCCGCAGCTATTGGAAATCTGGATCCTTCTCACACACTATAAGACACTCTCCTCATACAACCAATCTTTTCATTATCATCCTCAGGTACTCAACAGATCTTGTTCTGTTTACACCAGATCTTTCATCCCAATAGCCAGGCTTTGTCTCACTTCATCAAAACTTATTTACAGCTCACCTCTGAGGATCTGTTTTTTTCTAAAGACTATCACAGCTTAATATAAAATTTGTGAAACCTCTAATCCCACCTCTGGGCATCAGAGTCCCCCTTTCCCCACTCACCAGGCAGGGGATTCCTCCCTGGGTCAGACTGGCAGCTCGATTTCACAGACATGACCACACTTAGACCTTTCATATACCTTCTAGTCCCAGTAGACACATTCTCAGGATGGGTAGAAACCTTTCCTACCATAACAAAGGATAACAGACAGTTTCTAGTCTCCTTTTCAGGGAATCATTCCCCATTTTGAAGTCGCCACATCCCTTTAATCATATAACTGCTCTGAATTTACTTCACAAGTCTCAAAGCCACGGCCCTTAGCAGCCCATGGTGTTTTCACATCCCCTACCATCCCTACTCTTCAGGCAAAGTTGAACAAACCAATCATTCCCTCAAAAACATTCTTATCAAATTCTCTCAAGAACTCCATACTGATTGAAATATAAAACTCCTACCCTTGGCTCTCCTGTGATTAAGAGTCCTTCCAAAGAAATCCCTCCTCATCTCCCCTTTTGATCTCATGTATGAAGGGCCAATTATGTTTCCTGGTCTTATGTCCAAGCTATCACCCCTTACCCCTTTGCTCCACTATCTTCGTACTCTTATTTGGAATTTCTCCAATCATCATTTGCCTCAACCCCTCCCAGATCCTCTTCCCTCTCCAATTAAAACGGGGAATTTAGTTCTCCTCTCTCTTCCAGGACAAAATTCCCACCCTCTTGCTCCAACATGGACAGGCCTGTTCAGGGCAATCCTTATTACTCCAACTGCTGCTAAGCTTCAGGATTCCCCTCACTGTATTAATTTTTCCCATCTCAAACCTTCTCTACCATCAGCTCAAAACAATCTTTTGATTCCCAACAAGACTTTGCAGTCTTAAGCTTCAGAAGATACCAAAACTGAACAGCGTCCCTCTGGTCTTAGAAAAATGAGGCCTCACACATCCACATGGGTCAAGACTCAATCCCAACACTATTGGATTATGCCCTACCTCTTCTCATTCTAGCTCCTCATACACTCTTTACCTCTACATGTGGAGATTTGAGGTTCAGGAAACATACTCAACAGTTCAACTAGATCACTCAGCTGGTAGGGTCCAGAGACTGCTCACTAGCAGGCTGTCAAAAAGAGACACTTATCCCTATAACAGCAAAGTCAATGGAAAGAACACCTGTCCCCTGTGCTTGCTTCCTCTATGATCAGACTAAAGGTTACTGTCAACGCTGGCCAGAAACCCATGGAGGTTGTCCTCACTGGTCCTGTAAAAGTCATGGTGCACATTTAGGAAAACACTCTGCCGTTTATGAAGAAGGGAGAACCTTTTACATCCTGAGTAAGAATCCATGGTACCCCAGAAGGGAGATGAGAGTCATTGGGAAGCTCTATGATGGCATTTACCGCAGGCTCTTATCAGGAGCGCTCAAAATACAGAGGGTACACATCCCACTCGCTCAACCCCACAGTAGAAGAAGTGGTCCAAAGCTCCTCAAAGGTTCTTACGTCCTTATTAATCCCCTTTATTGGACCCCAGCTCCCTGTCACACCATCTCATTTCATCAGTAGTAGCTGATGACTACTGTGTATCAGCTGCTGAATAACAATCAGCGTGACCTCTTTGGAGAATGCTGGTTGTGTGTCCCTCCAGAGTCAAGCTCTCACCCACCCTTTGTGGCCTCACCCATTGTCCCATTAGATTCTCTCCCCTTACCACCACTTATCTTTCTCATATTCCTCTCTTGGGCAGTACAAACTGCTTTAATTCCTCAGGAACACACTTTGTGGGCATTTTGGATTCTGAAAACTGCAATAATACCATGACCCTTGGTACTACCACCTAGCCCCTATATCCAAACATTCCTAATGCATCTATTCTCTGTGATATTCTGCTTACCTGCTCGGTGGTATAGGAGTTGTGCCATAGTGTTCCCCTTCCCTGAATTAGGGGTGGTTCCTGGTGAAGAGCCCTTGTCAATTCCCCACCGCCAAGTTCATACCTTCATGGCACGGATTGGCAAATAAGCAATCTAAGTAAACCCTTTCCAGCAGCCCTGGGCATAACTGCAGCTGCAGCCACTGGAACAGCAGGACTGATTGCTTCCCTAGCCGTTTACCATTGCTTTCCTCAGAATCCATCCGGAATTTGCAACAGGTAGCTCAGACTATCCTTATTCTTCAGGGACAAATGGACTCACTAGCCACCGTAGTACTACAAAATCGGATAGAATTAGATTTCAAAATCTAGCCAGTGGATCACTAATAGTCAGATATGGTACTGGATGCTTCCCTTCCTAACCCCTCATTAAGGAATATTTCTCTTAGTTCTAGTAATTATGCCCTGTCTCATAAACCTCTTGTCTAAATTTCTTCAACAACAAATCCAAAAGATTTCTAACCAGACTTTGAACAAGTTACTATTGCAGGATTACCAGCCTACAGCTACATAGCCAGGGCCTGTGCATCCCGTTATATCCCGGGGATGAAGATCAGGATTGTCCCAAGAACTTCAATGCCCCAAAGCAGCAGGAAGAAGTCTCATGAAAACATCGCCCCCTTCTAATCTCTGTTATTTATGAACAAATAAAAAGGGGGAGTGCAGGGTAAAAGGGACAACTGGAACAGGAAACCAACCAATCACTGAGCACCCTGACTCTGAACCCAGAGCCAGTGAGAGAAACACACCTTGGATTGGAGACCTGGGCCAGGGAAAGAAACATCATTATTCCTGAACCCAGGACTAAACACATGTGGTCTGACTCTGAAACTAGTGTCAAAGAAACACACACTGTCCCTAGAATCAGAGGTAGACAAAGAAATGTGCCCTGGTCCTAAGGTTAGAGACACCAGTCTGACAGTGGGGGAACTAGGCCCACTGAATGTGGGTGGCAGTTGAATGGCTGGGGCAGACTGTGGGGCAAATGGCAGTGAGAGCAAGATTTATCTCTGCTGCTTGTACTGGCTTTTTGGAAGCCATTCTCTTTGTAGGGATACTCTGCTCAGCCTAGGTAGTAGGAAGAGCAGCGGTCCTGCCTCAAAGCAATGTGCTAGACTTTGTTGACTTCCCATGGGAAGCCTTACACTCTCTGGAGTGGATGGGGAATGGGGTGGGAGGATGTTGGAGGGAGCAGGAAGAGGGGAGGCAGAGGGAACTGGGATTGGTATGAAAATGTTAAAACGTAGGGTTTTTTTTTTCAAATAAATAAAAGAAAAAAGAAAATTTGTTATTCAATTCCTACAGAAGCAAAGCAGCTAGAATTCAGCGAAGAGCTTCATACTTACTTCCAAAGACCCTACATGTGTAGCCACCATCTCCAAAAGATTCAGTAAGTCATGTGTCACTTTTCCCCTTTCTTCGGTTGTGCTTTGTAGAACCAGTTGGTATCTACAGAATTAAAATAAGAAAAACGACTTGTTTAATATCTAGAAAATGAATGAATAAATTAGTACAGTGTAGTAACCTGAGCAAAATGCAAATTTTGCATTTATATATGTTACTAATTTCCCTGAGAAATATTTGGTGGACATAGAAAACCATGCCTGGCTGTAAGTGGTGGCGCACGCCTTTAATCCCAGCTCTCAGGAGGCAGAGATGGGTGGATATCTGTGAGTTTGAGGCCAGCCTGGTCTATAGAGTGTAGTTCCAGAACAGGCTTCAAAGATACAGAGAAACCCTGTTCATCCCCACTACCAAGAGAACCATGCCTGGTAGAATCCATCGAAATGCCATTATGTAAGCATACAGATCGCTACCAGATGCTTCAGTTCACTTGATGTGTGGTCAGCTACCCTGATGCTATGGCCCGCCTCTAATAGTGGCATAAGGTATCTTATTTCTTTGGCTTAAATCCTTAAAATATCATTCTTTGCACCCAAAATAGTTTCATAATAGGAATTAAAGATTAAAAAAAAAAAAACAGGAAGCAGCTTTACAAAGTTTAAAGAATCAGATCTTGGCGAGGTGAACTTACTCCCGCTGGACGGCCTCTAGCTCATCCATGGCTTCGCTGAGGCCCTTGTTCACAGCACTCTCCAGTAGGTGCTTGTGTTTCTCCAGGGATTCAAGCTCCCTGGCACACTTCTCATCTTGATCCTCAGCCTCCTATCGGAGAAAAATCATTTTTTCCATTCATATTCCATTTGCTAAAGGCAGATTTAAGTAAAGTAGGTTAAGCATTAAAAACAAACAAAAAACCAGAACGTTGCATCATTTATATTTCCAAGCTGTTGACTGCCTTCTTTAACTGTTCCAGTGGGGACTCCATATGATAAACACAAATGTGCCCCTCCAGGAAGATTCTGTGTAGCAATCTATTTAACAATGGTTCAAGTCTAATTTAAGGAAACCTGGTACTTTGATTAAAATTCCACACACACATTAACTATGTTTAGCAAAATTAGTTCCAGTCATTCTCAGATTCCTAGGTTTGTGATGCTGAAGTATGGACTTACAAAGTCTTTCACTTGAGTGCTTTCAAGAATAAACTTAACCTTTCATGCAGGGAATATGATAACAGTAAAAACAATAGGCACATATTTCACACTTCATGTGCAGATCATATTTTGTGTTACAATTTCCAAAAATTCTACACTGCTCAAAAAGCATCCTGTATATAATATAGGGCAATACAAACGTTTCTATTTGTGATACTTTGCTGGTATAACTACTAATGGCGCAGCTGTAAAACTTAATTGTATGATGGCTCGTGAATGGGGTCTCAATGCCTGTCTGTGAAAATTCAGGGTTGACAGAACAGTGGCAGCCAGTCTTCCACCTCACCTGCCTTCTGGAGCTCTTATGAATAGACGGAAATTCAGTAGTAAGTTTGCAATGGTTTTTTTTTTCAAGACTTATTTATTGATCATGTACATAGTGTTCTGCCTGCATAACAGAAGAAGGCACAAGATCTCATAATAGATGGTTGTGAGCCACTATGTGGATGCTGGGACCACAATGGGACAATGGAACTCAGGACCACTGGGAGAGCAGCCAGAGCTCTCAACCTCTGAGCCATCTCTCCAGTGCTTTGCAATGATTCTAAATGGACAATTCCTTATGCCCAGGTGGGACTCAAAGCTGTAACAACCCTCCCACGGGGTCTTCTAAATGTTGGGACTACAGGTATGACAACACCACACCTGGCTTTTCTGGCTGAGTTTTGAGACCTCCTCTCAGCTTCTGTATAGAGTCAGATGATCACACCGGTCCAGCTCCTACCTTCACAGTTTGTTGGTAAAGGACGTCCAGCTTTTGCACCTCTTCCTTCAGCATCCTCACATTTCTCCTGCTCTCCGTCTTCATGGTGTTCATCTTGACAGACATCAAAATGAACATTTAACATTATAGAACTTTTATATTGGCTTTTATGCATATTTGTTTATGTGACCTAGCCTGGCCTGGAACTTGCAATCCCCCCAGCCTCTGATAACAAAGTGTTGGAATTGCCGGTACAATGCACACTCTTGACCTCTATTTTATTGAGGAGAGGAAAAGATCTTCCTAGTACTTTACTACAGGGCCATGTTTGTAGCCCATAAAGTCAGATGCCATAGAATTTGTTAACAGTGAAAACAACTTTGTGTGGATTACTTGAATAGCTATTTATGTAAAGCTGTGGATTTTACTTACAGATTGATTTTGAAAAAAGGAATAAAACTGGGTGGTAGTGGCTCACACCTTTAATCCCAGCAAATCCCAGCACCCAGAATTTAAACCACGTTGCTCAGTAATCACAAGTCACACTCGACGCTAGGCTGCATTACGTGCACCACACTTACTTGCTCTAACGTGTCCTCCAGCGCAATCTTTTTATTTAAAGCTTTGCTAATTTCTTCCTCACTTTCATTCAAGAGCTCTCTCAGAGGTACCTAGAAAATATATGAAATATGAGAGTCAAGATATATTAAAAATTCCCACGAGGTATGAGTATATTATGATGTAAGACAGTTTCAGAGACAAAAATAAAGCCAGGACATTTTAAATATAATATACCATTGGTGAGAAAACATTGCATTTTTTTGAAGCCAAGGTTTAGGAATGAAAAAACAGCTGGTCTCAACCTTTTTCCAAGTGCTAGGATTATGGGTATCTGTCACAGTGCCCGACAGTCTTAACTATGAGCCGTCTCTCCAGGCCCCGTTTCTCTTTATTCCTTGCTTAAGATTCTAGCTGTACTTCTATTTGTCTTCCAACTTGATTTTATTTCAACACTATACGACATTGTTTCCCATTGTATTGAGAAAACTGAGGTAATACCCACTTTAAAATGATTAAACAGAAATAGTTAAGTTAAATGTAACCTGAAACTAAACTTTCTATACAACTAGTGTATACAAACAGTATACAACTCAGTGGATGTAGTATACTCACATTGTTATCTAAATGCCATTTGTACTTTAAACATATTTCACTACTCCAAAAAGAAAATGCCATATGTCATTATGTATTAAGTCTTTTTTGTTTCTGTTTTTAGGAGACAGGGATTCTCTATGTAGCCCTGGCTGTCCTAGAACTCACTATGTAGATCAGGCTGGCCTCAAAGTTAGAGATCCACTTGCCCCTGCCTCCTGAGTGCTGGGATTACAGCCTTGTATCATTGATGTGGGAGTGATTTCTTATTAATAAAGAAACTGCCTAAGTCCCTTGATAGGCCAACCTTTAGGTGGGTGGAGTAAACAGAAGAGAATGCTGGGGAAAAGAAGCTGAGTCAAGGAGTCGCCATGGTTCTCCCACTCCAGACAGACACAGGTTAAGATCCTCCCTGGTAAGCCTCGTGGGCTACACAGAATATTAGAAATGGGTTAGAACAATATGTAAGAGCTAGCCAATAAGAAACTGGAACTTATGGGCCAGGCAGTGTTTAAATGAATACAGTTTGTGTGTTGTTATTTCGGGCATAAGCTAGCCATGCGGGCGGCCGGGTGCCGGGGACACAGCCCTGCCGCTCCTAAATCAACATATCATTACACCTGGCTCTTGAGTAAGTCTTTTAAAGCTATCATTGACTTCTAATTTTGATCAGTTCCTTTCTTATGCTGCCCATCAAACCCAGATAGTCTACAACAAACATGGGCTCTACCACTGAATACAAACCCAACTCCTGGTAATGGGTGTGGTCGCACAAGCCTGTAACCACAGCAGTCTGAGGCCACTCTGGACTACGAGTTACAGCTTCAACAAAACAAAAACAGGATGTGAAAGACGGCTCAGTGGGTAAAGAGCTTGCTGACCAAGCCTGGAGACCTAAGTCTGATCCTCAGACCACCTAAGGTGGAGGCGAGAACTGACCTCCACACGTGTGTCACTGCGTGTACTCTCCCACAAGTCTTTCCACAGTCTAATTAAAAGGAAAACAATGAAAACCCTTGCCAGACCCCAAACAGCACAACACAATGAAACACAAAACCACCCCAGGCCTGTTTTTTGAAGGACTCAATGCCTTTTTACAACTCTCTTCCAAGTGGCTGGGACGACAGATGCTCTCCATCATCCCTAACTATTTCTGCTATCTCCCTTATGGACTTGTTTATATTAATTTTGTGGATACATGTGCATGTTGAATGCAGATGCCTGCAGAGGCCGGAGACACAGGATTCTCCTGGAGCTGGAGTAAAATCAGGTGTGAATTAGTTGCGGTAGGCACTGGACTTCTAATTTGGGATGTCTCTACAGGCAATGCATGTTCTTAACCACTGAGCTTTCTCTCCAGCATCCTCCTTCAAAGTCCATTGCTCAGTACCGTATAAAATATTTCTAGAATAAAAGTAAATTTTCTGAACATATTCTTTGGGCCTAAATACCTTTTACAAAATTGTTTAAATCAGGTAATTAATTTCTTGCTGCAGCAATATGAAGCCATTCAAAGTAGTGATGTGCAAAATCAGCCAGCTACCTGGCTACTAAGAGAAATCAGTGTACCAGCCAGCCAGGTAGTTGTGGTGCACGCCTTCAATGTCAGCACTTGAGAGGCAGAAGCAGAGGCAGGCGGATCTCTGTGAGTTCGAGGCCAGCCTGGTCTACAGAGCGAGTTCCAGGACAGCCAGGACTACACAGAGAAACTCTGGCTTGAAAAACAAAAAAAAAACAAAAGAAGTCAATATGCGTAGTTTGACAACTAATGGCTTGCAAAACCGGTAAGCAATGATTTACTGTGTGTACTTTCTTTTCTTAATTGACAGTAATCTAAACTGAGTGTAGTGTTGTAGCCCTTTAATCCCAGCACCTGGAAGAGAATGAGGTCAGTCTGGTCTAACAGGCAGTTCCAGGCCAACAAGAAGTACACAGTGACATCCTGAAGCTGATGTGGAAGTGGAGTTGCTGCGGCACACATCCGCAGTCCCAGCACTTAGGAGGCTGAGACAGCAGCACTGTCTTGAGTTGAGACCCAGCCAGGCTACATGGGGAGTTGCAGGCCAGGATTCACAGTAAGATCTCGTCTAAACGCTACTGAAAAGTGGGTGTGTATGTGTCAATGTAGCTGGCTTGATTTAAGCAATGTCTGTTCATCAGCAAACCGCTATTTCTGAGAAGATTTGGTTCTCCTTGGCTATTTCATCTCCAGGACACAGCTGGGCTGGAACACAGTCTGTACGCAGTAGACACCTGGTAGGTGATCAGTTCTCCCATCCCAGTACTAAGCAGACCTGACCCTGCTTAGCTTTTGATTAGATAAGGCAGGTGCAGGGGGATGGACATAGTCTGGATGAACAATTCTCAAGGGGAAAATGTATAGCATTTGACTCAACAGATTTGAATTCCAGAGATAAGTATTTTAAAAGTGGTATTTTAGTATCGGCAATAAATCTGTGACACTTGTGAATAAATCTAAAATTGTAATAAATGTTTTCTCCAAATTATCTTCTTGGTCATTTCAAAATTAGGAAAAGTTTTTTTGTTGTTGTTGTTGATTACTGACTTTTTTCCTTTTTCTGCATTGAAAAATAATTCATTATACTTTATACCTTCCTGTGTGTGCTTGTACTAGAACTATTCCCACAGGTGTACCACAGACATTTCATCTTTCAAGATTTCCCTGAAGGGCTACCATGCTCCAGTCTGGCTGGAAGAACTGATCTGGTAACTAACCTTGTAAGTTTTACCATCAGTAAAGCAGGCACCTGACATTTGCTAATGATGATCTCCAGAGAGGGGCTGAAGGTAACTAGCAAACAAAGCTTACCTCTGATTGTTGACACAGTCCTGATAGATTTTACTTGTAACCAACGTTTTAATGGATAGTTGGGCGAAGTAAAGGAGGCAGAGAGGAAAAGGCTCTTAAAGTAAAGTCAGCTGAGAAATAAGACGTCTACCACTCAGAAGAAAGTGCTCCTTCTTAGTCTAGTCCTATGGCATTATGGTAAGGTGAGGTTCAGACACAGACTTACATAAACTTGAGCCCTGTATTTGACAAGGCATTTGGCACCAGCTAGAGGATTAAACTTAATTTCGAAGTCATAACCTTTGGAATTCTCAGCACCTTTCGGAATAAGCTTTAATTTTCGAGCCAATTTGTGGTAGTCAGCTAATTGTGCTTCAATCTGGTAAAGAGAACACAAAAAGAAATGTTAAAAATAAAGCAGTCCTAGTCTGTGTGGTTTTTCAATGGTCATTTCTGTAAATCTACACAAGCGGTTATGCCAGTTTTTAGTAGTTTGATAATTAACAGATGGTAATATTAAAATATAAATGAAAAGCTTTGACAATAATTCTAAGGCTGTAATTGGTGAGCAGTACACCAGTGTTCATACTCCATATAAACTGGAGCAAATCCATGTTTCGTTATCAACTTAAACTTAGATTCTCAAACCTAGATATAAATTTGAAATAAGACCAAAGTTTGGAGCCGGCATGCCTTTAATCCCTACACTTAGGAGGCAGAGGCAAAGGCAGGTGGATCTCTGTGAGTTTGAGGCCAGACTGGTCTACAGAGAGAGTTCCAGGACAAACCAGGGTTACATACAGAAACACTCTGTCTAGAAAAACAAACAAAAACAAAACAAAACAAAAATCCAAAGTGTGTGAGGGGGAACCCAAAACTTCCATTTTACAGTATTAACACATTTTAATTACCCCAAATAAAAAAATAGATTTTTTTACATTTCAAAGTATTATCTTAAATATATTGAAATTTTTTTTTAGTAGTTCATATTTCTCTTGTTTTTTTCAAGGGTACATCTGTTACCAGAACAGTGTTTTTTCCCTCTAATGGAGCCCCCAGTTTTCCCAAACTCTTAATTTACTTTACAATGTGACATATCTGTTCACTTTTACTAGCTGAATGGAAGCTCTATAGAATCAGATATCTGTGTGAGTGTGTGTGTGTGTGTGTGTGTGTGTGTGTGTGTGTGTGTCCCCTGGCCCTAGAACACAGCCTGGCACTTTCTCTTCTCTTCTGTTACTCTCTAGGCCCAATCAGTGGTCTGTTCTACTGCTTCCTGCTCCTCTTCTCAGTCTAATGAAAGAGCATCCAGGAGTGCACTGCTTATGTCTCTAGTCCTTTCTCCCACCAACACTTCTGATGATCGAGATGCAGTTGCAACCGTTATATTTCACAAGAGTTCTAGGTGTTCTGTTTATATTAATATAACTAAATATTTATAGTTGTATTTCACAAGAGTGCTATTATACTACCAGACTTGACAAGTAGGGCAAAATTTAGAACAGAAAAAAAGGTTACAGATGCATTGTTTAGGTGAGTTTTTGTAACCTAGACAGACATTTGATACTCTTAGCTCTCGGGTACCCAGCCCACTCAGTTCTTTTCTCAGAGCCAGAGTTGGACCCCTCCCTAGGCCACTGCTTACCAACCTCCTAGATTATTTTATTCTTTCAGCGTGTTCAACCAAAACATGCTATTCTTTTAGTTTCATAAACCCAATGTTTACTTATTCTAGAGATAACCACACAGCCTCTGAGAGATAAGGTACTCTGAAGTATCTCACTTGAGATTAACTGATGTGGACTAATTACACTTCACTTTCTTTTTTTCTTTCTTTTTTTTTTATGCTTTTCAAGACAAGGTTTCTCTGTAGCTTTAGAGACTGTCCTGGAACTTGCTCTGTAGACTAGGCTGGCCTTGAACTTACAGACATCTGCCTCCCTCTGCCTCCTACACTTCATTTTCTAAAGAAACACGTGGAGGCTATAAAAAGGCTAGATGATGTAGACTATGCATACTGTTAATAAGAAATTACAGGCTAAAGCTGAATCAAGTTTGACCAAATTCTAGGCTCAAAGACTGGGTGCCACATCCTTTTCATTAGGATTATGTATTGAACTTGATACCCTGAGCAAGCTAAGCTTGTGTTCCATCATTAGGTAGACCCCTAATGACGCTAGCTCTTATAAATGTGTATACAGATGTATACCTATTTCCTTTATACCCAGGGATGGAGCTTACCCACCAGGGTTAGGAAATAAGGGAAGACAGATGACTACTTACAGTGAACTTCTTGCTCACTCTATGTTAGAATCACATACATACATTTATTTATTTGCTGAGATCTTAGTTCATCCTCAGAAAACCGAGTTTATCTTAAATTTGACTGATAAATATTAGAGGTGTTGATGAGCTGGAATAAGGATATGAGTGTTTTAGCCGTGCTAAATGTCAGTGTTAGAAAAATTTATCCCACTCCTACTGAATTCCACTTGGTTACACAGGCCTTTAGTAAGGTCTTCTGTGATGAGTGGTCACTCAGAATACAGCATGACTCACCGCCTCTTTGCCTCTGGTATATTTTAATTCCTCACTCCACATTTGTTGCTGTCCAGTCTCTAGGTCTTTGGTTAATTTGTTAATGGTCTGCTGCAATTCATTTTTTTCATGGTTTATTCTTTCGATGTCTGTAACTGAGTACTTTTGGTTATCAACAATATTCTGTAGCCGAGCGTTCTCCTGTCTCATTGCTTCACATTCCAATTCTGCAAGAGAAGAAACAAAAGCTTTCCAAAATTTCTTTTAAAAAAAACCTACAGAGAAAGTGATGGGACCGTTTAAGATTGTTTAAATGTCAACTTTATACATATACATCCATTCTTTTAGGCAAGTGATCCCACCTCATTAATGACAGAAGCCAATACAACTAGGGCTTTAGGTTGATATCCTCCATGTTTGGCTTACTACAGTTTCAGAAGGAAGGGTCTGACCAATTGTGGCTCCATCCAAAGTTACATTTAAAACTTGTAAACAGGCATAGTTCAACTTTGTTACTGTTCATATTAAATGCTTCTAATACTTTTACAAATTTGAACTATTCAGAAATGTGGTTCTTACACAATAGTTGGTAAACTCTACCTCTGAGCTGGCTTAAGTAACTTTATGCCTGTATTATGTCTCTGCACAAAAGCATGATAGATCTACAGAATCTAAGTATGTCCTACCCATTTTTAGTCACTAATGGCTTTAAGTAATCAAGGAAGTTAACATAGTCAGAGAATTAAAACAAATGACAGATGGTATTACTCTCTCATCTACTCAGCTGGCAACGTTTGGATGTAATATTCTCCCAAGAATAAGGAGGTGCTAAAATGGTGTGGTTGGTAAAGAGTCTGTGGTGCAAGAAGGAGGGCCTGAGTTTAGATCCAGCACCCACACAGAAGTTGGTCATGGGGCACGTGTCTGCGACCCTCATGTTGTGGGTGGAAGGTGGACAGACATAGATCCCTAGAGGTCGGAGGCAGCCAGCCTAGCTGAACAGATGAGCACCAAATGTAGAGAGATGCCATGTTTGCCATGTTTCCAAGTAAGGTGCAGACCTCGGTGTTCATCTCCAGGTTCCACATGTATGCACATACCACACATGAACACAAACCCACACATAGACATATGTATGCCATGTCCTATACACTCACAAAAAGAACATATGTACTAATTCTTTTGATTATGTGTAAAGAAAAGAATAATATTAGTATTGGTTTAATTACACTGGAACTAAGAGAATAGTCTATGATATGGAATAGCAAAGGACATAGATCAGGGGCCAAGAAAACAGTAAGCGTTCATTTAGAGCAAACGCAATATGCACAATTGGAGCCTTTTGTAGGAACTCGAATTTAGTATATACTATGTGACAATTATAAGCCTTGGTTTTGTAGATGATCAGAACTACATAGACTAAGAGTTAAATCCATAACTCTAAAGATCATCTTCACAATCTACATATGATAGACATAAATTGGGAAATCCTGAAGGAAGAAATTGCTGAATTCTAGGGAAACTTCAGCTTTCCTTATACTTATTTTTTTCTTTTTCTTTTTTTTTTTTATTGAGAATAAGAAAAAAAAGTTTCCGCCTCCTCCCAGCCTCCCATTTCCCTCCCCCTCCCCCCAATCTTCTCCCCCTCCCCCCACTCCTCTCATCCCCCCTCTCCTATCCAAAGAGCAATCATGGTTCCCTGCCCTGTGGAAAGTCCAAGGTCCTCCCCCCTCCGTCCATGTCTAGGAAGGTGAACATCCAAACTGGCTAGGCTCCCACCAAGCCAGAACATGAAGTAGGATCAAAACCCCTTGCCATTGACCTTGGCTTCTCATCAGTCCTCATTGTTCGCCATGATCAGAGAGTCCGGTTTTATCCCATGCTGTTTCAGTCACAGTCCAGCTGGCTTTGGTGAGCTCCCAATAGATCAGCCCCACTGTCTCAGTGGGTGGGTGCACCCCCCGTGGTCCTGACATCCTTGCTCGTGTTCTCCCTCCATCTGCTTCTCATTGGGACCTTGGGAGCTCAGTCCAGTGCTCCAGTGTGGGTCTCTGTCTCTATCTCCATCCATCACCAGATGAAGGTTCTATGGTGATATGAAAGATATTCGTCAGTAATGCTATAGGATAGGGTCAGTTCAGGTTCCCTATCCTCAGCTTCCCAAGGGACTAACTGGGGACATCGCCTTGGGCTCCTGGGAGCCACTCTAGGTTCAAGTCTCTTGCCAACACTAAGGTGGCTCTTTTAACTAAGATATGTGCTTCCCTGCTCCCCTATCCAACCTTCCTTTATCCCAATCTTCCTGTTTCCTCAAGTTCCCCCAATCCTCCCCTTCTTACTTTTCTCTCCCTGTCCCCCCTTATCCCCAACCCACCCCACCCCCAAGATCCCAATTTTGTCCCCGGCAATTTTATCTACTTCCCTTAGGCAAGAGGATAACTATATGTTTTTTCTTGGGTTCACCTTCTTCTTTAGCTTCTTTAGGTTCACCAGGTATACACTCCGTGACCTTTATTTATGGCTAGAAACCAATTATGAGTGAATACATCCCATGTTCATCTTTTTGGGTCTGGGTTACCTCGCTCAGGATAGTGTTTTCTATTTCCATCCATTTGCATGCAAAATTCGAGAAGTCATTGTTTTTTACCGCAGCATAATACTCTAATGTGTATATATTCCACACTTTCTTCATCCATTCTTCCATTGAAGGGCATCTAGGTTGTTTCCAGGTTCTGGCTATTACAAATAATGCTGCTATGAACATAGTTGAACAAATGCTTTTGTCATATGATAGGGCATCTCTTGGGTATATTCCCAAGAGTGGTATTGCTGGGTCCAGGGGTAGGTTGATCCCGAATTTCCTGAGAAACCGAAACACTGATTTCCAAAGTGGTTGCACAAGATTGCATTCCCACCAGCAATGGATGAGGGTACCCCTTCCTCCACAGCCTCTCCAGCAAAGGCTATCATCGGTGCTTTTGATTTTAGCCATTCTGACAGGTGTGAGATGATATCTCAAAGTTGTTTTGATTTGCATTTCCCTGATTGCTAATGAGGTTGAGCATGACCTTAGGTGTCTTTTGGCCATTTGAACTTCTTCTTTTGAGAATTCTCTGTTCAGTTCAGTGCCCCATTTTTTAAATGGGTTAATTAGCATTTTAGATTCTAGTTTCTTGAGTTCTCTATATATTTTGGAGATCAGACCTTTGTCTGTTACGGGGTTGGTGAAGATCTTCTCCCAGTCAGTAGGTTGCCTTTTTGTCTTATACTTATATTTAAACTGTCGTCTAATGGCTCTGTGACTTCAGTCAACTTCTGCTCTGTTTCTGGCGTCACAGAAGTTAGCAAGTACTATGTGTCATAGTATTTTCCAAAGCTCAACTAAAGTTGGCATGTGCTCCTGAATCCAATGTTAGGAAGATGCAGGAACACTCAGGAGCATCCTTTGCTGTGCTGTTGTGTGTAGAGGATGGGGCACGTGCAGGTTTCAGCTGCGGGCTTGCTTACATGGCACTGACAGAGGGTACGACAGTTACAGGCAGCCGAAGGAGACAGAGATCAAGAGTCTAGCTGGTTAGGGCCTGCCAAACTGAGATTGATACCCAGACTATGTAAAGCTGCAAGGAGAGAATGGACTGCAAAAGTTGTCCTTTTACCTCCACATGTATCCTGTGGCATGTCCTCCCACATATAACATACACATACTAAGTAAAAATGTAAAAAGGGATCTGGTTTATAATGTAAAACAATATATTTATATGGAATATATTAGAATGTACCATAAATATGTAAAATTATAGTTTATAGTATATATAATATATAGCTATAAATTTATATATAATGTATTATTATATTAAAAACACATACAGGTTCAATTTTGAGGACTTCTGTTCTTAGAATAGGTTGTCTGTTGGCTTCAAAAAGCCTTGTGCTTAAGCCAGACAGGAACAGCAGTGCACACCTATAATCCTAGTACTTGGGAAGCTGAGATAAGTGGACGGTCAAGCGTATAGGCCAACTGGGTTTGCTCAGTAAGACTGTTCAGAACCAAAAAAGCTATGTACTGAGAACACTGGAAGTTACAGTGGGCTGGAAAGGGCTACACATCTCTCAAACATGTAAATATCACCTTGTCTGGAAAACGGTCTTCATACAAGTGATTGGGAACGCTGACATGAGAGAACCCTGGATTATGCAGGCGTGCCTTAAACATCACCATAGGTATCACTGTAAGATAGAGGCAAATGGAGAGTCCATGCAGATAGGAAGATGAAGACTTAGGGACCAGAGAGATGGCCAGCAGTTGCAGGACTTAGTGCTCTTCCAGAGGGCCCAGATTTGGCTCCCAGGGCCTACATGGGTAGCTTACAACCATCTGTGACTGCAGTTCCAGCAGATCTGACACCCTATTCTGACTTGAGGGTATCAGGTACACACGTGGTACACATAAACTTAACATATACATTAAGACTTAAAAAAAATAGAGCTGGGCAGTGATGGCACACACCTTTATTCCCAGCACTCTGGAGGCGAATCTCTGTGAGTTCAACGCCATCCTGGTCTACAAAGAGAGTTCCAGGACAGCCAGGACAACACAGGGAAACCCTATCTCTGAAGAAAAAAACCAAACCAGCAAATCAAAAAGAAAAAAAAGAAAAGACAGAGAGAGGACAGAAGGGAGAAGGGTGTGGTGGCAATTTATCATTCTAATTTTTGGAGGCAATATTTCGAGTTTGAGGTGAGCTTGGGCTATGTATTATTACGGGCCCCTGGAGGCTGGGACCAGAGGATCTTCAATTCAAAACCAGCATGGGATACAAATATAGTCTTAAAAAAGGAAGAAAAAAGAGGATGCAGAGAAAAGACAGTAAGAGGAAGGAGGTAGAGATTAGAGTGATGTGGACCTAAACCCAGGTATGCTATCAGCTATAAAAGCTGGAAAAACAGATTCTTCCCGAGTCCTTTGGCAAGCACATATTCATTGGCTCTTAGATTACATTTGGAACTATGAGAGAAAAAAATAATTATTATTTGTTGTGGGACAATTGTCTATATTCTGTCAATTATGTTTTAAATAAACGCAGATTGGCCAGTAGCCAGGTAGGAAGTAGAGGTGGGTCAAGGAGAACAGAATAATTCTGGGAAGGAAGAAGCAGATTCCTCCCCAGGCCTGTCCCAACCACAGAAGAAGGAAGATGTGATTGCTCTGCTGAACCGAGCCATGTGGCCAACATTGATAAGAATAATGGGTTAATATAAGTTATAAGAGTTAATAAGATGCCTGAGCTAATGGGCCAATCAGTTTATCATTAATATAGACCTCTGAGTGATTTCTTTGGGGATAAATGGCTGTGGGACCTGGTGGGAAGACAGAAACCAGGCAGGACGAAACCCAGACAACAATTATTATCCTTTTTTTTTTTTTTGAGACAGTGTCTCACGATACAGCTCTGGCTGTCCTGGAACTCATTTTGTAGACCAGGCTGGCTTCAAACTCACAGAGATCCACCTTCCTCTGCTTCCCACGTGCTAGGATTAAAGGTGTGTGCTACTATGCCTGGTTGAAAGAACTAATACTGAAAACTTGATCACTACTACAGAAAGTCATCAGAAGGAAAAGATCACATAGCTGTTCACAGAGGCCCATAGGCCAATCTAGATGATCCCTTAGCTCCGCTTACCTAGTCTACTAATTTCTTCATCCAGGCCCCTCAGTTTCTCATCTAGGATGGACGAATGGGACTCCAAACTGCTCAGGTATGCTTTATACTTTTCTACATCTGATTGCAAGGAAGCTTTCAAATTTTTCAATGATTCTAGACTATTCTTGAAGAAGAAAAAAAACCATATTAAATAGTTATTTTTACCAGAAAGCATTCTGTATTTTAAAGAAAGCAGTATTATTTACACTTATCTTAGAAGAAGTCAAAAGAACTAAAAAAAAAAGAATTTTGGTATTACTACTGTAATGTTATAATTTAATGAAAGACTTCAGTTTCGGATAGGGAAAAACCAAGGATAATGTAGAAACACAAATACTTAATATCTGATTACTTTTCAGAACAATCTAGGTGCTCCACTAATAAAGCCAAGATATAGTTAAGATTCTGCTATCAGGGTTGGAGAGCTGGCTCAGGGTTACGAGCGCTGCCTGCTTTCACTGGACCTGGATTCAATTTAACAACTTTCTGTATTTTGAGTTCAGATTTGACATCTTCTTCTGTTCTCCATGGGCACTGTGAGCATGTGGTACACAGATATGCATGTAGGCAAAATACCCTTACATATAAAATAATCACCTACATTATCATCTTGCTTTTATAAAAACATGCATATTACAGTATACTCTAGAAGTATACAGTATATCACCGTGTTTTCACTACCTAAACTCAGGACCTCTTGAGAACAATGCTCCTTACAAGTGAATACCCGAGGGACCCTGTCCAAAGGGTAGTTTGGGCCTTAAGTAAACAGGCAGGAGTCTTTCATCACATTCTGAGCACCATTAGTCCATAACTGATAGACCACAAGGGAAAACAAAGCACCACAGATACCACCCATGGCTTCACTAAAAGTCTGTACTATCTTACCTTTTTAAGAAGCTTATTTGTTAACCCATTTAAAAACACCTTCCATAAGAGGGTCTTTTCAAACAGCCTCAAGAGTCTAAAGAGTTGTCAAGTGAGTTTAAAAACACGGTTACTAACCGGTTCTTTTTCTCTTTGTTGCTCCAATCTTGCAATCTGCTCATTGAGTGCTCTGTTTTCTTCCTCTAATGACTCTAGCTTGGATGCATCTACCGTATATAAATCCTCTGGAAAAAAAAACCCAAACACTTCATCAGAATCAACCTACAGCATCCTTCAGGTTTTCAGTACCTTATCCTCTCCCTTCCCCCAATGCAGTAGACACTACCTTCTAAAATAGCAAGTGTTATTTTTACTCCATGGAATAGCCTATGGCCCTCAACCTGCTTCAGCTTTCTTTCATAGCAGCTGTTGTTATTTGCCTATGGTTCCCCATTTAATCATCATTACTTTCTAAGAGAATAAAGTCAAGATTTTCTGTTCTTCATTACTGCAATTTTGGTGCCTGGCACACAGTAGATTATGTAAAAATATATTTGAGTAGATTAATTTATATGTTTGATTGAATATAGAAACATTAAATAACTCACCAAATGTTTTCCATATTAGATCACAGTGAATTTTCCCTTGTGTGTGTTATGTGTGTTTATGTGGTCATGAATATGGATGCATGTGTGCATACAGAATCAAGGGTTACATTGTGAACCTTACTTGGCTGTTTTCATCTAATGTCCTAGATAAGATCTCTCCCTGGTTTGGTCAGTTTGGCTGGCTGACAAGCTCTAGGTTTCTCAAGTCTCTACCTTTCCACCTGCTACACTTGACATTTTTATGTCTATCTGCTCCCTGGACAGATGGAGGATAGTTACAACAGCTGGACTGTCCTCTACTCTTACATCCCTAGTGCATCCTGAGGAATGCTGGTTTTCCCCTCTGATCTTTTGTGCCATAGGTGTCAAAGTGATATTCCCCCATCACTACATAACACTGAGGGAAAAATAATTTATATGGAAATATAATGGCTTGTTAACTTCCTTTAATCAATCTCTGTCTCTCTCTCTCTGTCTCTCTCTCTCTGTCTCTCTCTCTCTGTCTCTCTCTCTCTGTCTCTCTGTCTCTCTCTCTGTGTCTCTCTCTGTGTCTCTCTCTCTGTGTCTCTCTCTCTGTGTCTCTCTCTCTGTGTCTCTCTCTCTGTCTCTCTCTCTCTGTCTCTCTCTCTCTGTCTCTCTCTCTCTGTCTCTCT